ACCTTCTTTAGAGGCATTGCCTTTTTTAAGAAAAGAATTATTTATTTTAATTTTATTATTATTGTATTCTTAAAAGTTTGATCAGAGAGAGACTGAGACAGAGACTGGGAGTGGGTGTGTAGGGGCACAGAAAATGAGAAAGTAAGCCACCAGGTCTGGGACTTGAACCATAGTTGGTCATGTGGGAGTCCAGTGTCTTAATCATCATGTCATCTGCTCATCCCAAGGCATTGCCTTTCAGTTCTTAATTGAATCTCCCAGCAAGCTTCTCCATATGTTACTGTTCTTTCTCTAGTTCTTGAATTGTTACTTGTAGATATTTACGAATTTTTGTTAAAGGCTGTAAGTACACAATATTATGATATATCTCCTAATGTTCTCTCCCCTCTTTCCATCCTTACATTTTTTTCATACATGCATCTTCTTCATGCATCAATTAATGGTGGGATATGTTCTGAGAAATGTGTTGTCAGATGATTTTCTGATTGTGCAAACACTATAGAATGTTCTTACACAAACCCAGATAGGATAGCTCACTACACACACACCTAGGGTGTATGGCATAGCCTATTATGACTTTATGGGACCACTCTCATGTATGCAGTCTGTTACTGACTAAAACAGCATTACATGGCATGTGACTGTAGATCATAATTTGTCATAATTACCAATATTTACATTATTATGATTATATAAATATGGTTTACCACTGAACCAAGTAGGGTATATGAGGTCATTTATTTTTATAAACTTTGTTTTCCCTGAATTTGCCACATTTTCTCATTTGTTTTATTATCTCTGAAACTATCATTACTCTTATTTCCAAGTGTCTTTTGGTATTATTTTCCAACTACTCAAATCCATCACATCTTTCTGTTTAGTTTGTGCAGGAAGACCTTCCTCTCATGGGCTCCATTCACATGATCTGACCTGAACCTGTGATTGTCTGGGTTGGCTGCACTGTTGTCCACTGAAACTTATCTTTGATCTTCCCCTAAGGTGGATACTCTCTTTTTGGATTCCATGTCTCCCTCCTCCTGATTTTGACTTTCATTCTAATGAAGGTCTTTGAAAATCTGAAACTGTCTATTCTGCCCTTTCTTTTAATGGATAGATTGGCTGGGTATGAAATGCTAAGTTGACGACAACTTTCCTTTAAAATTTTAAGTCTTATCTTTTTAGTTCTGATATTGTCACTCTGATTCCTATTTCCATTTGCTTATCTCCTCTCTAGAAGTCTCTACCATCTTCTCCTTGTTTTGGGGGCTTTGAAATTTTTCTTGTAAACTTTTCATCAATTATCTTTGACATTGAGCGTGCCTCTTAATTTTTGTTTATGTGTTCTTTTCTTTCTTATTTATTTATTTTAGAACAGAATCTCTTCATTGCCTGATCCTCATGTTTTTGCCTCCTGACAGTTGGGATTATAGGCATGTGGCACTGTGCTTAACTTTCAGAGTGGGCCAGAAATTGAATCTGAGCCTTCCATGCAGCCGCAACCTGCCAAGAACAGTGTCTACCAGTGACTGCTACTGCAGCTAGGCCAAGTGAGCCTTTTTAATTTAGAGAGTTGTGATCATTGGTTCTGGGGAAATTTTTCTATAATATTTTTTTATAATTTCTTCCCTTCTATTCTCTTTCTAGAAGTTCAGAAATAGTAGAACTCTTTTCTCTCTTATTTTCTATTTCTTAATATTTTTGTTTTACTTTCTAGGATTTCTTCCACATTGTAGTCCAATCCTCTATTGAAACGTATTTTGCAATAGTATTCTTTTTCTTTTTTATTGCATGCACTTGCCAGAGACAGAGAGAGATAAAGCACTCCCCAGTGGGGCCTGGTCACTCTTCAGTACTTTGTCCTCTATTTCTCCAACTTACCAGGATTTGGTGCATACAAGCACATGCATCTGGTATGTGTTTTAAGCCACCAAGGGCTGGACTCAAACTGTGGCTGGTCATGTGGAACCTAGCTCCTAATGCATAGTGTTTAGCCAATGTGTTATGGGGCTGACCCAGTTATCATGTTCTTAAGAACATGCAATCTCCGAAGAAATTGGTCTTGCTTGCATTACCTGTTTCATAGCTTCCTGTTCTTATTCTGTGAACATGCTCTCGTCTCTAATAGTCCAAGGGTATTGACATAATATTCATGTCTTCAGTTTCTGCATCACTTATCTCCTTTGCAGTCCTTCCCATCAGTCTCCTCTAGTTCCTTGCAAGTATCTGTGAGAAAATGTGGCAACTTTAGGAAAAGCAAAAGTTTATAAAAAGACATGAGCTCTTATACCTTACTTGGTATAGTGGTAAACCAGATGTATATTGTCATAATAATATAAATATTACCTCATAATTTAACAACAAATTATGATACACAGTCATACATTAGATTAGGGAAAGGGGCTGGGCACTCTACCGCCAATAGGCAGATTTCAGTTAATTGCCCATTTTCAGTCCTGTGCCCCCTCTCTCCTTGGTGCTCCCAGTAGCAAACAGCTCGATTGGTGCCTCTTGGACTTAGTTCTCCAGGCACACTCCCAACCAGGAGTGGGAACCAGGGACTTCAGAGGCATTGCCTCTATTGAACATTGGCAAGAAGTCCTGGACTTTGGATGGCTTTTGTAGGCAATTGGCTTTCAAACTCCTGTGAGAGAATAACAGTATAATGCCATTTTATTTACAGTTGGAGGACTATGGTTACAGATTGTCGGACTGGATGGGTTTGTGATGCTTGATCTGGGTTGAAAGAATCAATGGGAATTGCAGATCAGAATCTATATCACTTGGGCCAGCCTGTGGCCTGGTGGTTAAGGCAGTCAGATCTCATGCAGCTGCCTAGTTCAAATCCTGAATCTGGCAGCTTGAGAAACTGTGTGTGTGTGTGTGTGTGTGTGTGTGTGTGTGTGTGTGTGTGCACATGCCTGTATACCCAAAATGAGGGAAAGATGGGGGGAGGGGATTGTGGGGTGACCATGTCCCTTGCGGGGAGGAGTGTTTTCTCACATTTCTTCTCTCTCCAGAGAGTACATGCACCCTGTGGTAAATGAAAAAATAATAATAACCATGTCACTCAGTATGTCTATTGTTAACATGCAAGCACTCAAACTTACAAGAACACAAAGTTGACATCGATTTGAAAGTAGATTTGCAATCTTTGCAACAGGGAAATGTTTCTTCTTGCAGAGAGGCCAAGCAGCTTTAAAAATAACCTGAATTCGGCACCATATAGGTTTTGCTTTGTTACTTGGTCTTGGCTCTTAGCATGGTGCTTTCATACTGCTAACAGAAATACTCGAGACCAGGTGATTTATGAAGAAGTAGGAGTTTATTAACTCATTTCTGGAGCCTGGAAACTCCAAAGCTGTAGGCTGGCCAAGTCATGGCAATGGAAGCACAGAGGATGGCTGGCATGTGAAAAGAGTCCCTTCTTCAGCTGTCTGTCAGCTCTCTAGACAACTAGCCCCTAATTACAAGAGTTAGAACTCACTGGGCCTTAACAGACATCAGCAATCGATTCCAGAGACTGTTCCTTCATAATGTAGCCGCCTTAATCCATTCACCACCCACGAGGCCTCGTTCCCTCCCAACATCAAATTCCAAGACTGTGGGACAAATGGGTCACCTAAGCACAACACGGGAGTGGCTGCATGCATCTTCTTGCTTAGCTAAGTGAATGAATGATGATCAGTGATATTAATAACATGTACCCATTGTTTAATACATACCATGCACAGGACTCAGTTTTTGTTTTTTAAAGATTTACTTATTTGTTGTGATTTTCAAGCCACCAGGTCTGGGACTTGAACTGTGGTTGGCCATGTGAGAATCCAGCACCTTAGCCACTACTCAACCTGCTGGCCTGGGGCTAAGTATTATATGGAGATGCGCTCACTTGTCTCACCACCCTCAGACATGCTGCTATATCAGTCATCTTAGACTAAGTAGGTTTCCTCCCTGTATAAACAATAGCCCCTGGGACCAGCGGATGGCATCTTCGTAACTTGGAGGTGTGGCCATCCCCCCTGGGATTGATGTCTCACTTTCTGTCCCTCTGGCTCTCTCTGTCTCTCTGGTGAGCACACGTTTCCTATAGCAAAAATCTCTCTCTAAACAAACAAAAACAATAGCCCCTGGATCTCAGAGGCTCATGACAATTCATCTTCCTTTCTCACCCACATAACAGGCTCATCGTGGGGCCCGGAAGGTGGAGCAGCACCAGGGTAGGTATCAGTGGTCTTGAGGTGATGGAAAGGGAGAGATGACCAACTAAGAGCTGGTTCTCAAGCTACTGCTGAGGAGTGTCACATGTCACGTGTCCCCTCAAAGTAACAAAGCTACTCCTGACCTCAAGGGCAGGGAGGATTCATTCTATCACACGGCGGGGCAGCTTGGTGGCCGTGGCTGGTACCACAGCCACGGCATGCCACTAGGAAGGGGCAGCACATTTTGTCCTTTACTTGTACCTGTCTTTTATAAAAACTGTCAGAGAGAAACAGAGACATAGAGGGAGGAGGGGAGAGAGAGAGAGAGAAAGCACCCCAATGGGGCATGGCCCACCACCTTCTCCTTTATTTCTCCGTCCTGTTAGGATCTGGGGCACACAGGCACATAAGCCTGGTGAGCGTTTCGAGCCACCTGGGCTGGGATTTGAACTGGGGTCGACCCTGTGAGATCCGCTGACCTTAACAATCACCTACAAGACTGCCCCAGCAAATGTTCTGAATGCAATCTACCCCATCAACATTATTAGTATCCTCCTTTTACTGAATGGAAAATAAAGCAAGGTAAGGATTCTGTCCAAATCTCAAGTCCTGTCAGGGAGCAACTGATTTGAATACCTAAAAGACTGCACATATTTCATCTAATTAAAATGTAAGCAAAGCAAAACAAAATGCAGTAATGAGATAGTCATATGGAAGAGTTAGAAGCAAAGAATGGTCATGAAATTTAGGTTTCTATTTCTTACACTTCGGTTATTAGCCATTCAGGTGAGGCTGTTTTCTTGAATGAGCTTGCCACCTTGTGGTGACTCAGAAAACTGCAAGGCAAAACTGCACTGCAGGATCTGTTTATGGAGTGCCAGGTGTGTACCAAGTCCTGTTTGGCTTTATTTTATTATTACCTTTGATGTAGTCAGAGGGCATGTGGGCTCCCCATAAAGAGGGTGAGAAAGATAGAGGGGCAGAAAACACTTCCAGTGAGGTGTGGTCATTATTAATCCACCTCCCTAATCCATATGCACACATACGTATACCTGGAGGGTTTTTCAAGCCACCAGGGGTGAGATTTGAACCATAGTCAGTCATGTGGAATCCAGGTCTCCGTGTATAGCACTTAACTGTTGTTCTATGGGGCTGGCCATATTTTATTTTGATTTTAAAGTTTATTTATTTCTTCCATGAAAGAGAGACAGCAGCACAATAGGGTCTTGCCTTGATCACAGGGGGCTCACGTGCCCTGAGGGTTTAGGGAGGTCTCTGGACATGAACCTGGAACTGTCTCTGTGGGTCAGACGCAGAGGCCATTCCTGCCACACCAAGCCCTGTTTTAGGCTGAGTTCACAGCAGAGAAGATGAACAAGAACCCAGGCCCTTCTGGAGCTGAGGTCCTGCATCACGAACACTCGGGTGTGTAAGCTACCATCTGGAAGTGTGGTCCGCTTCTCAGCCCACTGACCTAACAGCCTCCCCACGTGTGCTCACCTGTCTGACTGTCCTTCCTTCTTCCAGTGGGCAAAATACACCTGCTCCAAAGGCAGCCAGATCCTCCCTTTTTCAACTCTCCAGACACAAGCGGCTCTTGCTTTCTCAAGAGGTCGAGGCCTCTGTCTGTAATTATCCCCACTCCCCATCACCATCAGCTGCCTCCTGTTTGTTCATCACCATCAATACACACCTGCCCTAAGAATCGCTGCTAAAATCCTTAATCCGGGACCAGCAGATAGAGTAATGGTTAAGTCATTGGACTCCTACAGAGTCGACTGTGGTTCAAGTCATAGACTTGGCGGCTTTCAAACTCACACTGGGTGCATGTGTGTGCATGCCTGAAATCCCAAGAGGAGACCGGAGAAGAAAGGATTGTGGTGTGGTCATCCCTCCTGTGGGGTGATTTCTTGTTTTCTGTCTCTGTTTCTCCAGCGAGTCCACGCACCCTGTGGCAAAAAATCTCTCTGGGGGTTGGGGGGAATCCTAGTCCAAATTCTGTAGCCAAGGCTGCATCTCTCTGCTTCCTGCTGCAGGGAGACTTCTGGAAAGTTTTGTTTGTATTTCCTGTCGCCATTGCTACCCAGTCACCTTAATCCAGGGCCTCTGTTATCACCACTGCCCTGCACCCTGTCCTGCCCAGGAAGACCCTCTCTGTCATGTCACTCTGAGCCCTGAGCACAGCCAACTGCTGCCTTGTCTCCCTCCAGCAAGCCTTCGTGTCTCCAAACCAACTGTTTCTTTTGCTGCAATATCCTTTTTCCTCCCAAGTTATTTATATATTTCTTCATGGGGAGGGGAGACCCCAATAGGACCTCCCCATGCTGATCCAGCCCCAGCCTCAGCTGGGCAGGATCACAGGAACCCGCATGCTCAGGGGGTCCCAGGACCTTTCCTAAATGGGTATGATGGGTCCAGTTCGTTCTCACTGCACTGCCACCCGGCCTTACCACAAGATTCTTCTCCCCATCATGAGAGAGAAAGAGAGAGAGAGAAAGCATCCCTAGTGGGGTGTAGTCATGGCACAATTCCTTCTCCTCCATTTCTCTTTTCTGTCAGGATTTTGGGCATGCAAGCCACTGGGTCTGATGAACTGCAGGTCCACCATGTGAGACCCAGCTGCCTCAACCACCAGGTCATGGGGCCAGCTCTTTCCCCATCTTACAAGGCTGGAAGGTCCCATGCAGAGAGGGAACCAATTCCCTAACTGGTTCACTCTGAGGTGGCTCCTCCTCCCCAGCCCATTTCTCAGAGAGGAATGACCATCAGAAGCAACCTCATTCTTTTTTACCTTCTGTACCCACAAGAACCCTATCTGCCTTGTTGATGGCTAAACTCCAGCCCCCAGGAAAACACTAGCATTCATAATTAGGTTTCATTTGCAGGAGTTAGGAATTTATCTTGCAATGACAGCTCCCCCCACCCTGCCCTGGTTTGTTGTTAATCCGACCTTGGCAAGCAGAAGTAGCAGGGGCACTGTACCTGGAGGGGAGTTCTCTCTAGCTCTGGGGAAGCTTCCTTAAC